CTCTGCATTCTATCAGATCCTAATGAAATGAAATTATCATCATTATTATTATTATTACATCATTAACACATAAATTCATTTTAATGAATTATGGCAAAATCATCATTTTAAATGAAGAAAAATTAAAGGCATTCCCTCTAAAAACTGGAGCAAGACAGGGATGCCCTCTTTCACCACTTCTGTTGAACATAGTTCTTGAAACACTGGGGAGAGCAATTAGACAGATGAAAGAAATTAAAGGGATACACATAGGAAAAGAAGAACTCAAATTGTCACTATTTGCTGATGATATGATTCTACACCTAGAAGACCCTAAAATTTCCACTAGAAAACTTCTAGAACTAGTAAATGAATTCAGCAAAGGAGAAGGATATAGAATCAACACCCATAAATCAAAGGCATTTCTGTATATCAGAGATAAATCCTTAGAAATGGAATGAGGAAAACTACCCCATTTAAAATAGCCTAAAAATTAAAATAAAATACTTGGGAATCAACTTAATAAAAGAGGTGAAACATTTATATAAGGAAAATTACAGAACCCTAAAGAAAAAAAATCAAAGAAGACCTTAGAAGATGGAAAGATCTACCTTGCTCTTGGATAGGCAGAATTAATATTATCAAAATGACCATACTTCCAAAATCACTATACAGTTTTAATGCAATTCCAATAAAAATTCCAATTATATCCCTCATAGAAATAGAAAAGGCAATCATAAAATTCATCTGGAAGAATAAGAGACCCAGAATAGCTAAATCAATCCTTAGCAGGAAGAGTGAAGCAGGTGGCATCATTATACCAGACTTTAAACTATACTACTACAGAGCAATAGTTACAAAAACAGCATGGTATTGGCACCAAAACAGACTGGTAGACCAATGGGATAGAATAGAGGACACAGACACTAACCCACAAAATTAAAATTATTTTATATTAGATAAAGGTGCCAGGAACATGCAATGGAGAAAATATGATCTCTTCAACAAATGGTGCTAGGAAAACTGGAAATCCATATGTAACAAAATGAGATTAAACCCCTATTTCTCACCATGCAAAAAACTCAACTCAAAATGGATCAAGAACTTAGAAATACAATGAGAGATCCTGCATCTAATAGGAAAAAAAAAAAAACAGGGCCTAATGTCCATCACATGGGAATAGGCCCCAACTTCCTTAATAAAACTCCTTTGGCGGAAGAATTAAAATCAAGAATCAATAAATGTGATAGACTCAAACTAAAAGTTTTTTTTTTTTTCTCAACAAAAGAAACAGTCTGTGAGGTAAATAGAGAGCCTACATCTTGGTAGCAAATCTTATTCCTCACATATCAAATGAGCACTAATCTCTAGGTTATATAAAGAATTCATAAAGCTAGGCATCAAAAAAAAAAAAACCCAATCAATAAGTGGGCCAAGGACCTGAACAGACACTTCTCAGAAGATGATATATCAAACAACAAATATATGAAAAAATTTTCAACATCACTAGCAATTAGAGAAATGCAAATCAAAACCTCTCTAAGATTTTATCTCACTCCAGTGAGAATGGCAGCTATTATGAAGACAACAATAAGTGTTGTCCAGGATGTGGAGAAAAAGTTACACTCATACATTGCTGGTGGGACTGCAAATTAGTGCAGCCAATATGGAAAGCAGTATGGAGATTTCATGGAAAATCAGGAATGGAACCACCATATGACCCAGCTATCCTCTCTTCTTGGACTATACCCAAAGGACTTGAAAACAGCATACTACAGGAACACAGCCACAACAATGTTTATAGCAGCACATTTCACAATAATAGTTAAACTATGGAACCAACCTAGATGCCTTCAATAGATGAATGGATTAAAAAAATGTGGCATATATACACAATGGAATATTACTCAGCAATAAAAGAGAATAAAAGCATGCCATTTGCAGGTAAATGCAAAGTTAGAGAAGATAATGCTAAGTAAATTTAGCCAATAGCAAAAAAACAAATGCCGAATGTGAATGTTTTCTTCGATATAAGAAGGCTGCTTCATAGTGGAATTGGGAGAGGAAGCATGGGATGAATAGATGAATTCTAGGTAGGGCTGAAGTGTTGCAGAGTAATGGAGGGGATATGGGGTTATAAATCATGATGGATTGTGATGATCATTATTACCCAAAGTACATGAATGAAGACTCAAATTGGTGTGAATAATTTTGTATACAACCAGAGATGTAAAAAATTGTGCTCTTAAAAACAACTAATTGTTTCTCTATATCCATAACCTATACAAATGCTTGGGTATAAAATAAATGCTCAGTAAATATGTTTAATTAATAAAACATGTTAAGGCCTTTGACATTTGTATTTTAGAATAATAATGTATAATAAATGCTTTAGTGCTTTTTCCAACAACAACAACAACAAAGATGTGTGCTGTGAACATCTTTAAGTGAAGCTATCATTTTAAACTATGATGGGGCAAGATATTTCAAATTTAGACAGCTTTAAGCATTTTCTGTTTGATCTATTTTAAGCCAAACATTGAAGACTGAGAATGTTTTAGAAGAAAGTTGCTGCAGAGACCTCTTTCCAAATGAGATAGAAGCAGTTATTAGTTAGAATTGAATCTTCTGATCTAAACCACAGAGTAGGCAGCCACAGTCACTACCTTCTTGTCTGGGCTCTGCAGGTGCATCTCAGCTGGCTTCTGCAGCAGGGCCCCATCTCCTTATAGAGCTCCTGAGTTTTTGTTCAGCTTTTACTATCAATTCAAACACTGTGGGTTCCCTCAGAGCACATAAATACTTTGCTGAGTCTTCCCGCTGTAAGGGTGAAATGGTAAGGCTGATGTATTTATCTGCTCTCCTGAACTGGACAGAATAGCGACCTTCTCTTCTATTTGCACCAGAAGAGCTCTGACGAATAAGGGGCATCATCTTTCCACTGGGAAGTTCTTTGTACCAAAATAAATCGTATGCACTCCAACTTGTTTCATAAGAACATTCCAGGGTGACTGCTCCTCCTTCCTGACCAGATGTGGCTGGCGGGACTTGAGTCACTTTCTGGGCCACACTGAATCCTGTGGGAACAATCAGAAAACAGGGCTGAGCCTCTGATGTAGTGAATAAAATATTATAAACATTAGACTAATTTAGGACACAAAACCAAAACAAACTGGAGCCATAGATTGCTTTCCTACATTCCCCGTTTCCTCCTTGAGGCCACATGGAGCACCATATGCCCGTGTGCAGTCCTTTCCTCCTTAACATCCTTAGCCATGTTTGAACCAAACATACTGGAGTAGAAGTAGATAAAGGCCATGGACACCCACAGCAGGTGGGAGAGCGGCATGTGGCTCATATCCCTCTGCACAGAAGTGGTGATTTCTGCCTCAGACCAAGATTTCAGTGCCTGAGAGCCTGGCAGTGTACATATGTACTTCCTGGGTTCCCATGCTACACCCCCAATAGGAAACGGGGGTTCTTACATTTATAGACCACAAGGTCTGTGCACAGATGTGAGAAAAAGTGTGGTT